AAATTGCAGACTCCTGGGTATAAATTGCGCTGCACATCAATGGCTGGGGGTGTTGCACCTATAGAGAGACATTCTTTTAGGACACATAGAGAGACTTTTCATTGCCATTTGTGGTGTGAATTAATCCACGCATAACTTGTGGATAAGATTCCACGTGGATATAGACTAGTCCTGACTCCTGGAAGGGGCACCTTTCATGCGCCACGGAAAGATGATGGTGGATTCGAGTTTTCGCTTTGCTCAGCAAGTCTGTAGTGTGGATGAACTGGGAAAATCCTTGTCCAGCAAACTTTTGTGATTGATGAGCATAGTGAGGAGAGTCATACTTGTGCAAGCCATGTTCTTCTCTCTTCTGGAAGGCTTGTTATGGTAATTTGGATTAAATAAAATAGGTGTAAGAAATGAAAATACAAGGGCACAAAAGTCCATCCCGAAAGGTTGCCTCAGTTAACCAAATGCCCTTAATTACCAGCTAACTAAGTCAGGTAACAAAATTTCCATTGCCTTTGCTAATAAGTAGTGGTAAGAAGAAAGGGCAAGAAACTAAGTAAGTTGGAAATAAAAGGATGTGGAGATTACTCTCTTTTTTCTCGACGCGCCTTCAAACGGACTAAGTAAGCTGGAAATAAAGATAGCAACAATTGAATGTATTACCTTCAAAACGCAGACCGCAGTTTGGACAAGACCTTGAGGAACTGCATCTAGCTAGCTAAAAGCTCAAAAGATAATTCTGGGGTAAGGAAGTTGTTCCCTCTCGCGTCGCCCCGCGCACGACCGAGAGGGAACCCTAGCCGCCGCCGGGTCTCCCCCCTCTCTCTCCTCCTCCCTCGCCGCCGCCCGAGGGCGCGGACGGGCGAAGCCCGGCCGTCGCCGGCGGCGGCGGGGTTCCTCGACTCCTCGCGCGGCGGCTTCGGCGCGGGTTGCGGCGGCTGGTCTGGGACGCAGCGCTTGGCGACGGGCGCGGCGGCGTGGCTGCTCATCGGCGTTGAGGTGCGGCGGCGGTGCAATCTGGCGACGGGACAGGCGGCGTGGTGGTGGCGCGCTCGTGCTGGCCGGGGATGGCGTGCGCGTCTCTGGCGGCGGCGCTCAGATCCGGTCGCCTCGAGGCGCGGTCGGGGGCGCACTAGGCTGCGGGTGGCCGCCCTCTGCCGTGGTATGTTGGTGGGGGGTGGCGGCGCTGCAGTGCGGGTGCTGCAGGCCAGCGGGTGGTGACGGCGCGTCCGGATCCGCCCCTGACGCTGCGGGCTGCGGGCGGCCCTTTCGCCGGAGCGTGATGGTGAGGGGGCGGCGCGGCAGCGGTGGAGGTGGGCGACCCTCGTCTAGGCGGGCCCTTGCGCCTGGACGGCGGCGCTCGGCGCGGGAGGGCCTCCCTGGTGAGCTTCCTAGGCTTCGGCGGCGGGTCGATTTGGTCTCCCTCCTCGGCGGGCGTGCGTTTGCAGATGGCCTCGTGGAGATATGCGCCAGCTACCATGGTAGGACGTCATGGGGGTGCCCGCGGAGGAGCTAGGTAGGAGGGACGGGTGGCCTCGATGCGGTCGCGCCACCTGTCGCCGGCACAATTTGCTGGTCCGGATGCGTCCGCTCCTCCTCCTCCTTCTTTCCTCGTGCTCGGGCGGGGAGCTCGGTTGGAGGGATGGGTGGCCTCGATGCGGTCGCGCCACCTGTCGCCGGCACGGGATGTGCCGATCCGGATTTGTCCGCTCCCCTTTCTCCCCCGTCCCTCGGCCGCGGACGGGTTGGCATAGGTCTTCCAGCGGAGCATCTGCGGGTGAATCTGTCGATTGAGGGCCGTCGGTTGGTCCAAAGCCGGGGCCTTTGTGTAGGTCTCGGGGTTGTCTGGTTGCAGGGCGGCGGCTCTGGCGGCGGGAGGCGCGACGTTTGCGGGCGGAGCGTGCGTCTCAGGTGCGGGAGGGCATCCATGGCCTCGCGTGTGGCGTGGTTGCAGGTGGTTGGCGGAGTTAGGGTGCGACGGTGGAGTGTGGGCGTCGGGGTACACCACTTGCCCAGTCCTTTGACTGGCCGACGGTGGCGGCGGCAATTGACGCCGTACCTTTCCTGAAGGCTCCGTCGCGGCGTTCCCACTCTTACCGCCTTGCTCCGGGTGAAAACCTGATCTTCACGGATCGGGCGGTGGCGACTATCCATGGTCGTACCCTTCTTGGAGGCATCGCTTTGGAGGCCTGGCTTCGTTGTTGTCCGGTTCACCTCTCTATTGTTGTCGGTGGGGTGGTGTGTCGGTGCCCGGCACCTTTGTATCTTGCCTTGGGTGTGTGCGTTGTGTGCGTTGTTCGGTCTATCGGTTGTAATCGGAGATGATGCTTTATATATAAAGCGGGGGAAACCCTTTTTGGGTAAAAGCTCAGAAAAGGTTGACTAGAAAGTTTCCTCCCATGCCATAGTCGTTTTCTTTTAACTGTGATGGAGCAGCAGCCGTAGGAAAATTTGTTCACACAGCAGGAAAATATCCGCTCACCTGTCACTATAAAACAGGTTCCTGATTGGCCCGGGACCGATGCAAAAACCAAAAGGGAGAAGCAACGCAAGCATTGAAACTTCTTGCAGCATTCTTCCAAGATGGGGAACAGCAGCGCTGCCCTGACCTGATTGGCGCGGGAGGCTGGCTAGGCTTGCTCACATCGTCGGCTATCTGTCCCGAGAATCAGTCTTGGCCTCGCGGCCATTTCGTCGAACAACACCCAGGCTGGGCACCCATGTTGGCCTCACAGCCATTTCGTCGAACAATTTCCGGGCACTAGTGCGGCGCCACCTTCTGCCCAGCATGGTGGCCTCATGGAGAGAGAGAATAAGTGACAAACGTCAGAGGACAGGAGACAGTGGCCATGACGAAATTTGAGCGAGGGCTTGACCTGTGACGCACTGTATAGTGAGAATCGCGGTGCGGCGATGTTCTTCCTGACAGATTGGTGTAGCAATGATGGCGTGGTGCAGAGACAAAACAGAGCGGCTGGAAATTACTTGCAGCTGCCAAAATAAGGGGCGAGGCGACTATGCCTCAGACGACTGTAAGCCGGTTCAGAAACTTTTTTTCCTTTTCCATCGGATTAGCATCCAATGGTGGAAGCAAACTCCAGTTTGCACAAACCGAACCTAATTTTCTGTAGAGCGAAACAGAAACATAAATAAAATCAAATAAATCAATTAATTCACACAAATTTCTTTCTAAAATAGAATGAATTAATACATTTGACTTTCTTTTGAAGACGTTCCAACGATCCCTCGAATTCCACGTTGATCTTTTCTTGTACCATAGAAAACGTATTTCTGTAGAAAGAGGCATGCATATGCCTGGCTTTAGCGAACCGAACCATTTTAGGTTTTACAAGTTTGAGAGAGAACAAATAAAAAGGATCCGGCTCAACAGCCACACAAACACACGCACATTATACAAGCCTCGACATGGGGCTTAAGGCTCAAAAGCTAAACAGACACCAAAGGGGTAACACGCGGACCGACAGTGGCGTGGGGAGGGGATGGAGGCGGGGGACGCGGCTCCGGTGGCTAGGGTTTCCCCTCGGTCGCTCGCATGAGCGACGCGAGGGGATCCCTCTGCACCCTGCCTTACTGGAGACAGAGGAAGTGGCACACAATACATGTGGTTAATGAAAAACCAAGTGCACCAAAAAAATGAATTCTTTCCAAAAGTTTTAGGTTAATAAAAAACTTTGGATTAAATTCCTATGAGATACAATTATACAAATCAAACATCACACACACACACACACACACACACACACAAAATGTAGTTCATAAATACATGACTTCCTCGAAGGCTTGCATTCAATATTAACTTTGACTACAGATATATTTAAAATTATTTAGATTGATCGAGTGAAAATGATGTCATTACAACTTCAAAAGAATATAACATTCGATGATTAAAAGGTATGCATTGGAGACCATGTCAATATTTAAATTATGCCTTCATGAACTGAGTGAGTACTTGAGATTCTAACTCCACGAAATCCCAACAGAAGCCGTCCGAATCGAAAGGCCTTACCAAGGCACCGCGGGACGCTTACTCCCAGACAGGGGAGTACTCTGTTTCGCCACACCTAGAGCACCATTTCCATTTGGAACGAAATGAACGAAAGAGGTGTAAGGTGGCAACCTTGATTCCCACGAAACCACATTGAAATCCCCTTGTGACCGAACTCCAGGATCCATCATCAGATCCCCAAACCTCACCCTCGGTAGCAATTCCCTTTCCACCGTAACTTCAGCGCGGCTGCTGCCACTGGTACAGGAATACACGACACGGAGTGGAGAATCCATGGGATGCAAGACCAAGTCAGTAACGTCTATCTGGTGGCGTCTCCGGGCGAGGAGCTTCGGGTGCTCCCCAAACAGGGATAAGTTCCTCTCGACGACCCTTCTCAGCCCGCTCAGGATGCAGAGCCAGAAATGGACGCTGAGGTTCCTCCTCATGATGTCCGCAAACAGATTTGCAGTGCCAATTGACCATTCGGATTGGAATTCCCTGGCCAGCTCATCTGCTATCCATGCTAACCGTGGGTGCTGCGCCGGGTTCGCGCTCCCGAATGCGAGTGTCTTGAAGAGATAGCTGAACTCCTCGTATGACAGGGTGTTGAGGAAGATTGGCTCCACTGTTCCAAGTTGCTCTGTACTTTTAAGCCAGCTGATGATGATCACCTTGCTTCCACTGTCCATGCTCACCACGAATGAGCAGAACTTGGCCCAATCCTCCTCCTCGACATCTGAGACAAGCTCGACAACCACCAGTATCTTCCCTGACATAAGACCACCATGGTCTGCAATTCTACAAAAGGAATCTCCATTCAGCTGCAGAATCGAAGAGAAGTGTGAGCGGACCCTCTCGTCCTTGCATACATGGGCGAGCAGAGTCCTCTTCCCGACCAGTGGACCACCGATAATCGGGAGAACAGCCGGAACACCACCGGAAGAGTCGTGCTGCAACATGAAGTTCAGGAGCTTTTGCTTCTCAGCGTGTCGTCCAAACATGATGTTGTCATTGTATAGATACACATCGTATGGTCGACGCAGCATACGGTCGCATCCACCCAAAAGAACAACAAACTCCGTCATGCCAGCGACTACATCCTCCAAGCTCTCCAACGCGCCCTGCAAGTCGACGGGGTATGTGGCCTTGTTCTTTCTAGCACTGCCAAGAACCATGCGAAAACGTTTGGGAGCAGATGGATTGCGAACCTCCCCCTCCTCCATGGACTCTTCAAGTGAGATGTACCTGGATGCACCTAGTGCCCAGTAGCCTCGGTACATGGCGTCCGCAAGCATACTGAGCTGCACCAGCATCGCAGAGTTGGTGATGTACCGCCCGTCTGCCTCCTCGATGACCGTGCGAGCTCTCAGGAGCAGCTGCTGCAGCCTCTTCAGCTCCTTCTCTTCCGAGTGTTCGTGGCTCGAGTGGTACTTGTTGGCAAGGAAGGAGACGAATCGGCTCATGAGTTCACCTGTTACTGCCGATATGGCAAGCTCCATCTTCAAATCCTCCAATGGAAAGGTGCTAACTAACAAGGAGGGGGGGTCCAAGAGAGGGCAGGAAGCAGGTGGAAATTGCAGACTCCTGGGTATAAATTGCCCTGCACGTCAATGGCTGGGGGTGTTGCACCTAGAAAGACATTTTTTTAGGACACATCGAGAGACTTTTCATTACCATTTGTGGTGTGAATTAATCCACGCATAACTTGTGGATACGATTCCACGTGGATATAGACTAGTCCTGGAAAGGCACCTTTCATGCATCACGGAAAGATGATGGTGAATTCGAGTCTTCTCACTGCTCAGCAAGTCTGTAGTATGGACGAACCTGGGAACTCCTTGTCCAGAAAATTTTGTGATTGATGAGCATAGTGAGTGTCATACTTGTGCAAGACATGTTATCCTCTCTTCAGGAAGCCTTGTTATGGTAATTTTGGATTGAATAAAATAGGTGTAAGAAATGAAAATACAAGGGCACAAAAGTCCATCCTGAGAGGTTGCATCAGTCAACCAAATGCCCTTAATTACCAACTAAGTCAGGCAACACAAATTTCATTGCCTTTGCTAATAACTAGTCGTAAGAAAGGGCACGCAACTAAGTAAGCTGGAAATAAAGATAGCAATAATTGAATGTATTACCTTCAAAAGGCAGTCCGCAGTTTGGACAGGATCTTGACGAATTGCATCCAGCTAGCTGAAAGCTCAGGATCTTGACTAGAAAGTTTCCTCCCATGCCACAGTCGTTCTTCTAACTGTGACGGAGCAGCAGTCGTAGGCTCAGAAGGTTGACTAGAAAATTTGTTCGCACAACAGGAAAATACCCGCTCACCTGTCACTATAAAACAGGTTCCTGATTGGCACGGAAACCAACGCAAGCATTGAAATTTCTTGCAGCGTTCTTCCAAGATGAGGAACAGCAGCGCTGACCTGATAGGCGCAGGGAGGCTACCTAGGCTTGCTCACATCGTCGGCTATCCCGGGAATCAGTCTTGGCCTCACGGCCATTTCGTCGAACAACACACGGGCTGGGCACCCGTGTTGGCACGGGAGACTGGCCCGCTCGCATCGCCGGCGCTGCCGAGGATCCGTGTTGGCCTCACAGCCATTTTGCCGAACAGTTTCCGGGCACGAGTGCGGCGCCACCTTCTGCCCAGCATGGTGGCCTCGTGGAGAGACAGAATAAGTGACAAACGTCAGAGGACAGGAGACAGTGGCCATGACGAAATTTGAGCGAGGGCTTGACCTGTGACGCGCTGTATAGTGAGAATCGCGGCGTGGCGCTGTTCTTCCTTACAGAGAGGTGTAGCAATGATGGCGTGGTGCAGAGACAAAACAGAGCCGCTGGAGATTACTTGCAGCTGCCAAAATTAGTGGCGAGGCGACTATGCCTCTGACGACTGTTGGCCGGTTCAGAAACTTTTTTCCTTTTCCCTCGGATTAGCATCCAATGGTGGAAACAAATTCCAGTTTGCTCAAACCCAACGTAATTTTCTGTAAAGCAAAACAGAAACATAAATAAAATCAAATAAATCAATTAATTCAAACAATTTTTTTCTAAGATAGAATGAATTAATACATTTGACTTTCTTTTGAAGATCCTCCAATTCCATGTTGATCTTTTCTTGTACCGTAGAAATGTATTTTTGTAGAAAAAGAGGCATATGCCCGGCTTTAGCGAACTGAACCCCTTTAGGTTTTACAAGTTCTAGAGAGAACAAATGAAAAGGATCCGGCTCAACAACCACAGGAACACACGTACTACAAGCCCCAACACGGGGCTTAAGGCTCAAAAGCTGAACAGACACCAAAGAGATAACACTCGCTGCTTGGCTTGGCACAGATTCGAGCCGGACGCGCCTCAACTACCAGCTCCAGCTAGCACCGCTTGAAGAGTACTAGCATGATGGCATCTTCAAGAGTCGACGGGTCTTGCGTACACACCATCATCCATTTGCCGGATAAAGTGCCCTTCAATAAGGGCTTTGTTACGCACATGCCAAAGAGCCCACGCTAACGCGGCAAAGGTTATCCAAGCGACATGGCGTGTAGTTCCAGACAACCTACTGGTGAGGGTGTGGGATTGAGGCCTATGCCGGTGCCCTCGTGCATCCGGAAACAGCCCGTATACAACTCCAAATGAAGTGAGCCAGTATGCATGAGAAAAATATGTGATCTGTAGCTTCCGCAAGGCCACATAAGACGCACAGACCATCCTCAGGACCGTGCCTCTTCTGAACTTCGGTTATAAGAAATGGAAATACAAGGGCATAAAATTACATCTGGAAAGGTTGCCTCAAGCCCTCATCCAACCAAATGCCCTTATCAATGTCAAAATTTTACAATATATTTATGAACTGAGGGAAGGCACGATGCGGAGCGGAGGAGCAGCACGATGCAAGACGAAGTCGGTCACGTCTACCTGGTGGCGTCTCTGCAGGAGGTCCTTCGGGTGCTCTCCGAACATGGAGAAGTTCCTCTCGACTAGTCTTCTCAGCCTGCTCAGCACACGGAACCAGAAATGGACACTCAGGTTCCTCCTCATCACGTCCGCCAAGATATTTGTGGCGACAAGCGACCACTCCGACCGCAACTCTCTGGAAAACTCGTCTGCTATCCGTGCTAGCCGCGGGTGCTGCACTGGGTCCGCGCTCCCAAACGCGAGTGTCTTGAAGAGGTAACTGAACTCCTCGTACGATAGACTGTTGAGGAAGATTGGCTCAACGGTTCCAAGTCGCTCCGAACTTTTAAGCCGGCTGATAAGGATCACCTTGCTTCCATCGCCCATGGTTGTTGCTACAGTTGAACGGAACTTAGCCCAATCCTCCTCGTTGACGTCTGCAACAAGCTCGACAACCACCAGTATCTTCCCTGGCAAGAAGCTCCGATCATGGTCTGCGATTCTGCGGAAGGAGTCTCCATTCAGGTGCAGAATCGAAGAGAAGTGTGAGCTGACCCTCTCATCCTTGCATACATGGGCGACCAGGGTCCTCTTCCCGACCACTGGACCACCGATGACCGGGAGAACAGCCGGAGAGCCACCAGGAGAGCCGTGGTGCTGCAGCACAAAGTTCAGGAGCTTCTGCTTCTCGGTGTAGCGTCCGAACATGATGTTGTCGCTGTAAAGGTACGAGTCATACGGCCTACGCAGCATACGGTCGCATCCGCCCAAGAGAACAACAAACTCCATCATGCCGGCGATGACATCCTCCAAGCTCTCCACCTCGCCTTGCAAGTCGACAAGGTACATCGACTTGTTCTTTTTGGCGCTGCCATGAACCTTGCAGAGACATTTGGGAGGAGACGAGTTGCGAACTCCCCCCTCCTCCATGGGAGTAGTCTCTGTCTCTTCGAGTGACATGTACCTGAAGGCCCCTAGTGCCCAGTAGCCTCGGTACATGGCGTCCGTGAGCATGCTGAGCTGCGCCAGCATCCCGGGGTTGGTGATGTATCGCCCATCCGCCTCCTCGACAACTGTGCGAGCTCTCAGGAGTAGCCGCTGCAGCTCCTTCAGCTGCTTCTCTTCCGATTGTGCCGAGCGGATAGAGTGGAGGTACCTGTCGGCGACGAAGGAGACGAATCGGCTCACGAGTTCACCTGCTACTGTGGATATGGTAAGCTCCATCTTCAGTTCCTCAGAGGCTCAGACCGAAAGGGTGCTAATAACTAGGGAGTCCAAACGAGGGCAGGAGGCGGTGGAAATTGCAGAGTGCTGGTCATGTGCTGCCCTGCACGTCAATGGCCGGACTTTTCATTGCCAACAGGTAAAGGGCACACCAGCTGCGGTGTGAATTACTCCACCCGTGCCATTAGCTTGTGGATACAATTCCACATGGATAGAGACTAGTCCTGACTCCTAGAAGGGCACCTCATCTGATCTTCTCATGTGCCACAGAAAAATCATAGTGAACTAATTCGAGTCTTCGCTTTGCTCAACAAGTCTCTATACTCTGTAGTAGAGATGAACTGGGGAACTCCTTGTCCAGCAAACTTTTGCAAGGGAGGTACTATGCAGGAGCATAGGGAGGGTATATAGTATAGACCGTTCTTCTCTCTTCAGGAAGGCTTGTTATGGTAATATGGCATAAAAGTCCATCAGGAAAGGTTGCCCTTAATTACCAGCTAACCAAGTCAGGCAACAAAAATTGTATCGCCTTTACTAATAAGTAGAACTAGACTACTACTGGTAAGAAAGGGCAATACTTTTCTAATGGGGTAAACAATGTCACAGGTTGTAAAAGACTCGTAACTAGAAGATAGAACGAAGTGGGTTTACTCTCATTTTTCTCAAATGCCGACCCTATGTTAGAGCCTATTGTTGGAGCATCTTCAAAGGAAACTAAGCAAATTGGAAATAAAGATAGTTGAATGTATTAACCTTAGGCAGACGGCAGTTTGGCCAAGACCTTGACGAATTGCATCCAGCTTGCTGAAAGCTCAGAAGGTTGACTAGCAAGTTTCCTCACATATCATAGTCGTTCTTTTAACTATGATGGAGCAGCTGCCATAGGCATTATGGCAGTTTCTCCATCTCACCTACCCAACAGGATCCTTTGTTCACACAGTACGAAATCCGCTCACCTCTCCCTATAAAAGGAAGTTTCTTCGCATGTCATTGTCGTTCTTTTAATTCAGAAAAAAGAAAGTTTCTTCGCATGTCATAGTCGTTCTTTTAACTATGACCCTTTGTTCACACAGCAGGAAACATATCCGCTCACCTGTCACTACAAAACAGGTTCTGTGAACGTGAGACACCATAGCTGACAGGGGAGTTTATTGTCCGGAATATCAGTGGCATACAGAGTATATCAATGACACTGATCTTGCCCTCATACACCACACCTAGCTTAGAACACCTCAAGCTGGATCTTGCCATATCCCCTATCACGGGTGACCTCACGAACCGTCTCATCTCTTTCCTGATCAACAAGTACGCAGATCACACGTGCTTGGAGGAGAAGCCAGAGAGGCTGCAACAGCTCTTGCCGAGAGTTGGCATGGTCATGAGGAGGCGGACTCCGGGTACATCACCAACTCTTGTATGCTCATACAGCTGAAGATGCTGGCGGCAGCCAATTACCAGGGCAACCATGTGCTTGACACCATCAAGTACAGAAAACATAAGGAATTGCCATGTGACTCGTCCACACTATCTGTTTCCACTCCTAACAAACGTTCTCGCATAATCCTTAGTAGTGCAGCACACAAGGTTTTCAACCTCGAACTAGAAAGGGCACCGCAAGACTTGAAGGCTGGTGTTGCTAACATGATGGAGTTTCTAGCCGTATCTAACCAGACGAGAACCAATGCAAGAACACAAAATTAGCCGCAGCATTCCTACAAGATGAGATGGGTACCGTGCGCTGACCTCGGTGGCGCTGCAGGCCAGCAGGCTCACAAAGTCGGCTCTGGCCTCAGGGTCATTTCATCAAACACCTTCCGAGCACCAGACCAGAGCGGCGCCACCTTCCGACCAGCATCCTGCCTTGCCGAACAGAGAATGGCAGTGTACCGGCTCGGACGCCTCAATCTTGTGGTGCGCTCGCTCGATCGCCGCGATGCGGATGATCTACTCCTCCACACCGGCGTTCGCCCTGTTCCACGATCTCGCCAGGAGACTATGAAGGGTAGGCAGAGAAAGTGAACTCATGTCTAACATATTCTTTTTTTTTTCGGGTGAAATGTCTAACATATTCTTGTCATCCAGTGTTTCTCTGCAGGTCGATGCGTAAACTAATGGTTTACTTCTTCAGTTTTATTTATTTATTTCTCAAGTAAATTTATCTTTTTTAAGCATGTACAGCCGGATTTGGCAAACCCAGCCCCGCAAAGCCTGCCCCGAACGTATGTGCGGGCACTACCGGGCACGCCTCATATGTTGGCTTCCACACTCGTCCCTCATATCTGAAATCTCAAACTCATCCAACCCATGCAACACTGCATATAAAGTATAAACACGATCAACTAGCCGGATCATCATTGCATCGCTAAACAAAAGCACATAGTTCATCGAAGGAGAGTGCAAATTCATACTACAAATACTTAGAACATAGATAAAACATAAATAAAATGGTGAAGGGCGAAGGAAATCACGATTTCCTCGCCAGTATCTTCCCCTTCCGGTCGTCGGTGCGGCTGTGCCCCTCCTCCATGTAGGTGTCGGCGTACGGAGGTGTGTCGTCATCAGAGTTGGAGGTGGAGCCATCCGTCATGTCGGAGTCGAAGCTGCACCTTTTTCCCCGACAGCATGCAGAGCAGGCGGTCCTGCTCCTTCTCATGGCGGGCCGCCTTCACCTTCGGCGCCGCCTCCTTGTTTGCCCCGCGCTCCGACAACTCAACGGCGAGTCAGAGCACCTTGCATTCTTGCGGCGGAGGCGCGGTGCATCCGTCTCCGCCGTCGTGAGAAAGCGGCGGACGACCGGTGCTAGGAGCGCGGCATCGGGATCACCCGGTGTGCGGACAACGCCTCCCTACCACTTACATTTGTTGGGGAACGTTGCAGAAAATAAAAGATGTATACGCTTCACCAAGATCAATCTATGGAGTCATCTAGCAACGAGAGAGAGGAGTGCATCTACATACCCTTGTAGATCGCGAGCGGAAGCGTTCAAGAGAACGGGGTTGAGGGAGTCGTACTCGTCGTGATCCAAATCACCGAAGATTCTAGTGCTGAACGGACATCACCTCCGCGTTCAACACACGTACGGTTGGGGAAGACGTCTCCTCCTTCTTGATCCAGCAAGAGGGAAGGAGAGGTTGATGAAGATCCAGCAGCACGATGGCGTGGTGGTGGAAGCAGCGGCGATCTCGGCAGGGCTTCGCCAAGCTCAGCGAGAGGGAGAGGTGGTACGGGGGGAGAGGGAGGTGCCAGGGACTAGGGTGCGACTGCCCTCCCTCCCCCCTCTTTATATAGGGGCCTAGGGGGTGCGCCGGCCCCCTAGAGATCCCATCTCAAGGGGGGGCGGCGGCCTAGGGGGGGGGGGGACTTGCCCCCCAAGTCAAGTGCCCCCCCTCCACCCCTAGGGTTTCCAACCCTAGGCGCAAGGGAGGCCCAAGGAGGGGCGCACCAGCCCACCAGGGACTGGTTCCCTTCCCCTTTCAGCCCACGTGGCCCTCCGGGATAGGTGGCCCACCCGGTGGACCCCCGAGACCCTTTCGGTGGTCCTGGTACAATACCGGTGACCCCCGAAACTTTCTCGGTGGCCGAAACTGGACTTCCTATATAGAATTCTTTACCTCCGGACCATTCCGGAACTCCTCGTGACGTCCGGGATCTCATACGGGACTCCGAACAACTTTCGGGTTTCCGCATACTAATATCTCTACAACCCTAGCGTCACCGAACCTTAAGTGTGTAGACCCTACGGGTTCGGGAATCACGCAGACATGACCGAGATAGCTCTTCGGCCAATAACCAACAGCGGGATCTGGATACCCATGTTGGCTCCCACATGTTCCACGATGATCTCATCGAATGAACCACGATGTCGAGGATTCAAGTAACCCCGTATACAATTCCCTTTGTCAATCGGTATGTTACTTGCCCGAGATTCGATCGTCGGTATCCCAATACCTTGTTCAATCTCGTTACCGGCAAGTCACTTTACTCGTCGTAATGCATGATCTCGTAACCAAACACTTGGTCACATTGAGCTCATTATGATGATGCATTACCGAGTGGGCCCAGAGATACCTCTCTGTCATACGGAGTGACAAATCCTAGTCTCGATCCGTGTCAACCCAACAGATACATTCGGGGATACCCGTAGTAAACCTTTATAGTCACCCAGTTACGTTGTGACGTTTGGTACACCCAAAGCACTCCTACGGTATCCGGGAGTTACACGATCTCATGGTCTAAGGAAAAGATACTTGACATTGGAAAAGCTCTAGCAAACGAACTACACGATCTTGTGCTATGCTTAGGATTGGGTCTTGTCCATCACATCATTCTCCTTGTGATCCCGTTATCAACAACATCCAATGCCCATAGTCAGGAAACCATGACTATCAATTGATCAACGAGCTAGTCAACTAGAGGCTCACTAGGGACATGTTGTGGTCTATGTATTCACACATGTATTACGATTTCCGGATAACACAATTATAACATGAATAACAGACAATTATCATGAACAAGGAAATATAATAATAATCATTTTATTATTGCCTCTAGGACATATTTCCAACAGTCTCCCACTTGCACTAGAGTCAATAATCTAGTTACATTATGATGAATCGAACACCCATAGAGTTCTGGTGTTGATCATGTTTTGCTCGCGGAAGAGGTTTAGTCAAAGGATCTGCGACATTCAGATCTGTATGTACTTTGCAAATATCTATGTCTCCATCTTGACCATTTTCATGAATGGAGTTGAAGCGACGCTTGATGTGCCTGGTCTTCTTGTGAAACCTGGGCTCCTTGGCAATGGCAATAGCTCCATTGTTGTCACAGAAGAGAGTGATCGGCCCCGACGCATTGGGTATGACTCCTAGGTCGGTGATGAACTCCTTCATCCATATTGCTTCATGCGCTGCCTCCGAGGCTGCCATGTACTCCACTTCACATGTAGATCCCGCCACGACGCTCTGCTTGCAACTGCACCAGCTTACTGCTCCACCATT